CATATACACACACACACACACACACACACACACACACACACACACTCTAAATACATATTAAGGTGTCCAGTTGCCTAACAACTGGCATGAATAAAAAAAACAATAATTCTGGAACTGGCCCAAATCTGAACATAATGTGTATCATTTTAGCATCTGTTTGACAGATGGATTAAATTAGAAATTATAAAGATATTATGGGAGTGTGTTTACCTGGAAAGGTAGTATATTGCTGTCAGTCCTGAAGGCACCGTCCTCATCCCAAGTTTTGGGGGCGAGCGGACTTGGTCTCGGAAATTTTGGGGGCGCAATAACATTGCTGCCGTAAGTTTTTTTCATGGGGGAAATTGGGCTCACCGGAGAGGGAACTCCAACACCGACGCCCACCGCTCTGCGTGGGTCCCTGCCTGCCTGCAAAGCACTCCAAGGGTGGTTAGAGCCGGTGCTCCACCCGCTGTTTTGGTGATTATTCCACGCCGGTGACGATACGGAGGAAGACGACCCTTTCGCGGCGTTCATAATGGTCTGATAAGCGTGTCTCTGCGGGAGGGGGCCCTGGTTGGGGCTGAGGGGTGATCTTCTCTGCTGTGGCTGCTGCGCCGATTGTTGATGCTGTTGAGACTGGGGGGCGAGTCCCATCTGGGGCGAGAAATTACCCCCGAAAACCGCGTTGACGTGGTGGGGGAAGTTTTGGAAAAGCATCGTCCCGTTAACGGAGGGTATTCCCTGGAAAAAACTTTCGTCCACGATGTTAGTGTTTCCAGTGGACCAAGTACTCCCGAAGGAGGTGGACGGGGAGGAAATGAGACTTTCGGTCTCCTGTGGCTGCTGGTGGAAGTTCAACCCTGGCAGGATCGGTGACTCCATCGACAATTTGTCCGCGGTGCTGCTCCCGGTCAACGGACTTTCAGACTCCGATGATGAGGACGAGGGCTCCAATGACAGGGCCGGGGGGGTACTAGAGGAGGGAGGAGGGTCTATTTGCGTCGGGTCTTGCTGATGGTGAGACTGGGCTGTGGTTTTGTCCATCAGTAAATCATCCTGCATGTTTTGAAGAGCTGCAAACAGATGTATTTAACATGTAATTGTGATATTCAGCCAAACACAGAGCAATTGCCGGGCCTGTCCAAGTGTCGCAACACCGGCGAGGATTTGACGTTAGCAGGACCTTGCAAGTGCAAAGCCCATATGGCATTGATCCATTTCATCGAAAGCAAACACACTTCCCAAGTATATCAGGACGATTCATAGATGCCACGAATTTCACAGAGCATATACGTGGAGATAGTCGCCGGATATCGCCACGTTGCGTTTTTTCCCTTCCACGCAGGAAACTCGAAACTGCAACGTGAAACTGAATTGTGTGTTGGCATAGGACCAACCCTGTGCTCATTTGCATTCGTCAGTAAATATAGCTATCCTGAAATAAGGAGAAAATGATCCATACACTCAGTTATTTGGCTGTCCATGAATTGACACACTTTTTATTAGTCCAAGCTAAATGCTGCACAGTGACGCGCCTGGAATGCTTTATTAATGATTATGCATCTGGTTGTGTGCTCGGAGTATACAGTATATGACGGATGGACACAACAGTGTCAGTCCCGGTGCAAAGACGCCCTGTTAGGCTTATTATTATTATTATTTATTAATTATTTAGCAATAACGCAGGTGGAGGTCCGCACTGATAAAGATGAGAAACGAAAAAACGGTCCGTTTTAATAAATATCATACCCTATACAACTAATGCGGTTTAGCCATTGAGGGTTAAAATAATATACTGTATGACTCCTATTTCTACAATTTCCACAATACGCCACTTCAATGAAACAATTTCAATTCGTGAAACGCAAATAGCATGGCCTGCAATTATCACCACCCCAGTTCGCATTTATTTTATTTATTGGCTCAAAAACAAATCTACGATGGCAAACAAATGCCAAGAACAATAATACGATAGGAAAAAGTAAATGTAAAGTAATGCAATGTTTAAACCAATAAAAACAAGCCATTACAAATTTTACAATTTCTTATTGTATAAACATTCAAGCGCAGACACATTGATTCGTTTACCGGACTTGAAAACAACTACAAATCAAATTTACACACCATTTTACTGTGTGATATCAATACATTTCAAGGCAATCGCAACAGCCTGCATTGCACACACCCTGGCAGTTAATCCGCGATTCCTCCCCAAGAGGAGTGTTTCCAAGGTCATCAGAACAGCCCAAGTGTCCTCAACCTCAGACGCATTGCCACAACATGAATTTTCAAACTGATCTTTCGCACACTAATACAGACGTGCGACACATTTCGTGGACCTGCCTTGCCTTGAAATCTCCCTTTAATCCATGTGTGTCCACAACACAAAACGACTCAAGCAGCATGCACCACAGCCGTTTATCAGTCTACCGCCAAGTTACCTTGATTGTTCACCCTTTGGGGAATCGGAGGATGAATATATTTCAGATTGTCTCGTCTAGGTTTAGAAATGTCAAACGAGCAACCCTTGTTCCGAGGTAGTCAGCAGTTGCCTCAACAGCTGATTGACTGCGGCGCATGGATGATGCCGCAGAGGATCTTGGGAGTTGTATTTTCTGGAAATCCAGCGCTGGTGTGAACTACAAATTGCTTTCCCTTTACACTGATTGAGTGAGCAACAATGTTGAACGTACGATATGCTAGTAAATATACATTAAAAATACATTTTCTTGCCTGTTTGTAAATCATGTCAAAAGCAACAGAAAATCAAAATAATGCAATCATTGTGATTGTTTTATATTTATATCATATACATAAGTACTTTGTGATTCTGGTTTATGATTACAAAAATGCGACAAAGCAGCTGATATAAAATAATTCGCTCCATTGCCAAATGCAGTTGATAAACTACATTTCCCATGTCGGGGCGCAAAAGATGTCGCTTCGTTTCGATGACGTAATCACGCATGGCCGTGGTGCCCTGAGCTGCGTCACCGCCCCCTGTCATCGGATAGGAGTTAGGCGTTCACAACGATCAACGATGTGGTAATATCAGTGACAGACGACCTGTCCTGAGCCAAAATAAAAATGTTTGATATTTGTGGTAGTGCGCGGAGTGCATTGGAGCGATAGATAACGCGCAATGACCAGGAATACAAAGATTTTCTCAAAATAGTAGCTGGCAACTCGCCTCAACACGAAGGCCTCCATAGCTAGTTTAGCTAGAGCCAGTTCCTGGTGCCCGTCATTTAACGGGCTTTTCGTTTTTATGTTTATCTTCAACTTAAGTCATCGGCTGTACCAACACGGCGTCGAAACGACACACATCTTTTCTCGATAATGGCGGATGAAGATGCAGTGATCTTGCAGCAGAATCTTGATAGGTGAGTGTATGGCTAGCATGCTAATGGAAGCTACGTACCATTGTCATATACAATGATGGCAAAATCACAACGGTTGTTGTTAGCCATGGACAGCTGACGATTAATGATAGTTAATGTAATAACTAGAGTTTTAACCAAGTTTATTGAAACTCCAAATTTCGTTGGTGTGTCTTACTGACGAATTATTTTGCAATTGTCAAGTGTAATGTTCTTATACGTGCCTATACTTTATATATTTGCTCATCCGCGTTCAAGGCGGTGAAGGTTGTAGTTCTGTGTTAAACAAGGACTGATTTCATTGGAGCCAAGCCACATGGGATCTGAAATAAAGTAGGGAAAACAGAAAAATTTCAATTTCCACGACTCAGCTTGACGTGTTGTCAGCCATCCTCCTAATTTGTCATCTGATTTATTACTCATTGTGGTGGGTAGAGACTTCCACTTTCACAGTCATATTCCAATAAATGAAACTCAACCTCGACACTCATAGTAGCAGACTGTGCACTGCACAGAACACCAAGAATTACTTTTAAACATGAATGTAGAGTGGTGCAATAACATTTTCATATCACAACACAGTTAATTTTATGTCACCATACAGATATGCCAGATGTTTGCATGTACTTTTTCTTGTCGCAAGGGAATTTTGAAAATGTTTAAAATTTCCTTGCAACAAGAAAAAAAACCACTAAAACTGTTGTCAAATCTCCGCCGAACGTCTGGTGACTATTTGGCGCACGTTTGCTGCCTTGGCAAATACACTTTAGTTTTTCTTAAACCATGCTTGTGCAGTCCTCATAATCCATTTGATTTGTGGTGGAACAGATCTGTCGATGCATTGCTCATCACGGCAACCGTTTTGACACATTTTACAATGTTAATCCGACCGCTGTCGGTCTTGTCAACCCCGAATCATTTCCATGCTAGGGCCTAAGACGAGAGAGTCTTCCATTTCTCAAATTTCCTAAATCAAAAACAATCCCGTCTCTCGCTTGGCTGGTCCCACAGAGTCACTTGGCTGAATCCTGCCTGCTGATTCTCAGAATGAAGGTTTATCGCTTCCTCCTCCTTTGCCGTCTATGCCTGTTGATTCGCGAATGAGGATTACATCACTTCCTCCTACTTTGCATCCAGTTGATGGGCTTGTGTGTCTTTTCTTATCGAGACTGTATTAATATTCAATAGTCAGAGATGAAAGTCCTCCGGATTTTCCCGGAATTCCAGGTTTTTCAAATTTTTATGAAAATTTCTCCGTAGAATTGAGGAAAATTTGCATAATCCGGATATTAGTTGACAGCATTGAACGAAGACGCGTTTGAGTTCGTTGTATTGCTTTCACGAGCGTAGCCATATTGAGGCACTAACACTAGTAACAGTAAAGAGATTTTTGTTTGTGTAATAACGACAGAAGACATGATGCCGTTTGACTAATGGTTTAGTAGAACGAATGGCAACTCGCAACAACAGTAGCAAGCGTCATTTTGCCTCTTGGGTTATACCATCTCAACTAGAACGCGGGGGATAGTCCCCAAACAATTTTCGTCTCTTTATAAACACACCTGCTAAACCCCAGTGGAACGAATAAAAGACGCAGTCAACAAGACAGTTGGGTGTAAAATATATATTTGGCCAAAAAGGGAAAAACACAGATTGGCAGAAAATCGTGTCTGTCCGACTTCGAGTGTCGTCTCGACTAACTTAGCTTAGCTGTTGTCGTGTGTGACGTCATTTGCGTCGACGCTGATTGGTTGAAATCAAAAGACGCGCTTGCGTACATGTTCGCGCAGAAGCACGCACAGCAGAGAGCAGCGGACTATCTACTGCTGAGGCTCGTTTAGCTTGAGTGGCGTCGCCACAACAGTAATACCTTCGCCTCGCATTCTCATGGCCTCGCCATATCTTGGAGATTTCGAAATTTCGGCCCGAACGGAAGCCACAAAGGGTACACGTGTGCAC